CAGTTATATATAGATCAGTGAATATAGATCAGTGAGTGTGAGCGCTAACTTCTGATATGTGCAGCATGATTGCGTGAACATTTCTGAGCGGCAAAAGTGATAGATCTGTAAAGCAATATATTGTGAGAGGTCCGTGTGTTACCACGTCCCAAACGACTCAAAATAATAAACCACAAATTTAACAACACGTTTCACTCCACTGTGCTGAGCAAGAGCACTTCTCTGCTGTCTTCACGTGCTATCGGAAACTTCCTATTTCCCACTTATGAAGTCGTGATATTGTTGCATTTTTTCTGTTAAAAATAACAGTTTTGACAGTGGTTTGTGAATGTTGATTCTTAGCCCAAATAATTTTATCGGGAGCGTTAATGTGAGTGCTGCTGCAGTCTTAGGCCCTCCCCAAATGCTGTCATTGGTGGAGACGCGTGATGACACCCATCCCAAGCCCAATGTGTGTGTGAGTGTGTGTATATACAGTGGGTACAGAAAGTATTCAGACCCCCTTACATTTTTCACTCTTTGTTATATTGCAGCCATTTGCTAAAATCATTTAAGTTCATTTTTTTCCTCATTAATGTACACACAGCACCCTATATTGACAGAAAAACACAGAATTGTTGACATTTTTGCAGATTTATTAAAAAAGAAAAACTGAAATATCACATGGTCCTAAGTATTCAGACCCTTTGCTCAGTATTTAGTAGAAGCACCCTTTTGATCTAATACAGCCATGAGTCTTTTTGGGAAAGATGCAACAAGTTTTTCACACCTGGATTTGGGGATCCTCTGCCATTCCTCCTTGCAGATCCTCTCCAGTTCTGTCAGGTTGGATGGTAAACGTTGGTGGACAGCCATTTTTAGGTCTCTCCAGAGATGCTCAATTGGGTTTAAGTCAGGGCTCTGGCTGGGCCATTCAAGAACAGTCACAGAGTTGTTGTGAAGCCACTCCTTCATTATTTTAGCTGTGTGCTTAGGGTCATTGTCTTGTTGGAAGGTAAACCTTCGGCCCAGTCTGAGGTCCTGAGCACTCTGGAGAAAGTTTTCGTCCAGGATATCCCTGTACTTGGCCGCATTCATCTTTCCCTCAATTGCAACCAGTCGTCCTGTCCCTGCAGCTGAAAAACACCCCAACAGCATGATGCTGCCACCACCATGCTTCACTGTTGAGACTGTATTGGACAGGTGATGAGCAGTGCCTGGTTTTCTCCACACATACCACTTAGAATTAAGGCCAAAAAGTTCTATCTTGGCCTCATCCGACCAGAGAATCTTATTTCTCACCATCTCACAACTCCATGCGGGCTTTCATGTGTCTTGCACCGAGGAGAGGCTTCCGTCGGGACACTCTGCCATAAAGCCCCGACTGGTGGAGGGCTGCAGTGATAGTTGACTTTCTACAACTTTCTCCCATCTCCCGACTGCATCTCTGGAGCTCAGCCACAGTGATCTTTGGGTTCTTCTTTACCTCTCCCACCAAGGCTCTTCTCCCCCGATAGCTCAGTTTGGCCAGACGGCCAGCTCTAGGAAGGGTTCTGATCGTCCCAAACGTCTTCCATTTAAGGAATGGAGGCCACTGTGCTCTTGGGAACCTTAAGTGCAGCAGAAATTTTTTTGTAACCATGGCCAGATCTGTGCCTTGCCACAATTCTGTCTCGGAGCTCTTCAGGCAGTTCCTTTGACCTCATGATTCTCATTTGCTCTGACATGCACTGTGAGCAGTAAGGTCTTATATAGACAGGTGTGTGGCTTTCCTAATCAAGTCCAATCAGTATAATCAAACACAGCTAGACTCAAATGAAGGTGTAGAACCATCTCAAGGATGATCAGAAGAAATGGACAGCACCGGAGTTAAATATATGAGTGTCACAGCAAAGAGTCTGAATACTTAGGACCATGTGATATATCAGTTTTTCTTTTTTAATAAATCTGCAAAAATGTCAACAATTCTGTGTTTTTCTGTCAATATGGGGTGCTGTGTGTACATTAATGAGGAAAAAAAAATAACTTAAATGATTTAGCAAATGGCTGCAATATAACAAAGAGTGAAAAATTTAAGGGGGTCTGAATACTTTCCGTACCCACTGTACACTGTTTACAAAAGAGGATTGAGAGTTGATGCAGGCAGGCAGTTGATGCAAGTCAGTCTTCTTTATATATATATGTGTGTGTGTGTGTGTGTGTGTGTGAGTGAGAGAGAGAGTGTGTGTGTGTATATATATATATTTTTTTTTATAAAATAATAAATACCAATAATTTGTTAAATGCCTTGTAATTTGGTATTTGTTTGTACAATTTTTTTTGTGATATATAAATCAGCATAAAGAAGCAGACGGTTGTGGCGACTCACCCAGTCTGTTCATGAAGGTGACCCAGGGCAGGTACGTGGTCTGGTAGATGGGCTGAAGAGTGCCTGTATCACCTTCCTCCAGCTGGACTGCATGCCTCCTACAACACACACATCCAGACACAGGTCCCACGAGTCAATACATGACTATAGGCCTGCTTAACATGGGTGGTTGAGGTCACTTCAGCATTTACGTCTGTAAACTTATTGTCATCTGAATCAGAAATGTTAGTGTTCTTTCACCGTCCACAACCGCATTATCTACTGTATTCTGACAAATACAAAGGCTGGGTGGTAATTTAATTACATCCAAATCGACATCTCAGAGACTGCCAGGAAGAACTGGCCCAAAATCATTTGGAAATCTGATTATTCGGATACCATCTGATCTGCACAATAATGAGAAGTTGGGTATTTGGCACAATGGAAGTGTGTTTCAGTTTGAAAGCACAGAAGAAAGAGGACAAATTAAAACTGTGTTTTGAATATGTATGTTTAAGACTACGTTCTCTTGTTCTTTAGCAATTCATAAAAAAAAAAAAATATATATATTATTATTATTTTTTTTTTAATGAACAGGTTTACATGATTTCTCTGTTTTTACATGCAACCAGACAGAAACTTTAATTTTAGCATTATTTATATGCTATTATTGTATTTAGCTTTTATTTCTAGAATTTCAGTTTCAATTTTAAGTTTAGTTGAACTTTTAGCAATTTTATGTGCTTTTGGCATTTTTTTGTTTTTTTTATTTTATTAAATAATTCTATTTAGCTTTAATTGATTTTTCAGTTAGTAAAACCTAAAAGTATTTTAATTTATTTTATTTCATTTAGTTGCCAAGGCAACATTCCTCATTTTATTTTAAAGTTTTCATCTAAAATGTTTACTTTATTTTATTTAAGCATTATTAATGAAAATATTTTTAATAGTTTTAGTTGTCATATGTCGTCTCCTTTTTTTGTCTTATCATCTGAACATGTTCATTTTATCATGGAAAGCTTGTGCGAATGTTATTTTACAGACAGAAGCATGAGAAACACAGCTGTGTGTGTGTGTGTACCTCTGGACCTGCTCTTGCTCGACTGCCATGGCTTTCTCATGGTTCCACTGCTGTTTGACGCTCTCCGTCTTGTGTCTCCGCCGGCTCACGCGACTGTCCTCGACACGCTCCGGTACAATGTCATCCGTCGTCTTCGGACCGCCAAGCTCAGAAGTCTCTGGTTTACTCTACCAAACACACACACACACACACACACACACACACACACACACACACATACATCATAAGACCGATAACTGGCAGCAGACCAGAAAACATAAAGCCCAATCATTCTCCAGCGTTTACGCTTCACTGAGTCCAGATCAACCGCATCATGCTGACCATCAATGCAGTTTTGGAGGCATTGACAGTCATAATTAATGAGAGTAATTTGCTGTTAATGGAGACTGCACATGCTGAGTGAGCGCACACACCAGCATTTCCCAGAAGCTGCGGCGCGTGGTTTTGCCGGTGGGTGTGGTGGACTCGGGCGTGCTGGTTCCAGTGGTCGGGGTGGAGCTGGGCACAGAACTCAGGCTGATGGGAGACGGGCTGCTCTTGAGCCCATGAGCTCCACTGGGCCGCCGAACGCTCTCCTTCAGCTCCTTACTGTCAGACTGCAGGAGACTCAAGGCAACTACAGAGACACAACACACAAGATCAAAAACAAACAAAAGACTCTTCTGTTCACCAATGCTGCATTTATTTGATCAAAAATACAATAAAGAACCAGTAAAATTGTGAAACATTATTTCAATTTAAAATAACTGTTTTCCATGTGTATATATTGTACTTCACCTCCTTACTGTCAGACTGCAGGAGACACAAGGCAACTACAGAGACACAACACACAAGATCAAAAACAAACAAAAGACTCTTCTGTTCACCAATGCTGCATTTATTTGATCAAAAATACAATAAAGAACCAGTAAAATTGTGAAACATTATTTCAATTTAAAATAACTGTTTTCCATGTGTATATATTGTAAAATGTAATTTATTGCTGTGATCAAAGCTGTATTTTCAGCATCATTACTGCAGTCTTCAGTGTCACATGATCTTCAGAAATCATTCTAATATGCTGATTGGCTGCTCAAGAAACATTTCTTATTATTTCATTTATATATATTTATATATATGTATATATATATATATAAATCGAAATCTTTTGTAATGTTAAAAAATGTCTTTACTGTCACTTTTGATCAATTTCACACATTCTTGCTGAATAAAAGGATTGATTTAAAAAAAAAAAAAACTGAATCTTACTGATCCTAAAAATTCAAATAGATTTACATTTTATTTTATAAAATTGTATAAAAATTAGAGTTTACCAATTAAAAAATGAGAAATTGTATTTAAAAAACATATCTACTTACAATGCCTACAAAACTTATTTCCAAATATTTAAGTAGACTCCTTCAGAAAAGCAGATGTTTTATCATGTAAAAACAATTTTAGTGAGTTATATTTAATATCAGTTAGTTATTTTCTTCTTGCTCCAGTGTTATTTTAGTATTATTGAGATATTATTACAGTATTATTGAGCTATTACAGAGATATTGTTGATATTTTATTATTATAGTATTATTGCGGTTATAGTTTATATAAAAAAATTTTATCCGTTTTTTTTAAATATATTTTCTGTTTTCATTTTGATTTTAGAAATGTTGCCGTGTTTTTGTAATTTTTTTAAGTTTTTTTATACATGTGTATATAGCTTCTATTAATTTTTATTTCAGTTTTAGTTTTAGATTTTTTAGTACATCAAGTTTAGGACAAAAAAAAAAGTCTTATTTTATTTCAAGCAAAGAAATTTGTTTTCCACTGGAAAACTGACAATATATCAAAAACAAAAAACTATAAAGGCCCCCATATACTTAAAACGAAATCGAAGAACTAACTGAAATGACGTCATTTAGAACAAAATCAGGCCGAAACGAAGTTCGTTTTGGCAGTTCGAAACAACTCACCAAAGTGAACTTTTGGGGGAGTTCGTTTTGCCTCCTAAACACCTTTGAGCTACCATTGGTCCGTGGCGATCACGCAGTCGGTGGGTGTGTTCAGGAACTCCGCCTTCTTTGACGTGCAATCCCCCCGGTTCGTTTCTCATTCCACGGAGGCCAGACAGGAGAACACATCTCTGTGACTATCTTGCGGGCTGTGCACGGTCCAACCTTGAATGTTTCAGCCACACTTAGTTGCGTGGCCCCACAGTGTCAAGGCCAGTTTCTCTGTAGTGGAAATCTGTGTCCTGTGCGTTTTTGCATGTTTCACATATGGCGATACCCTTTTCAAGAGATCGTCAAACTGCGCGGCACAGTATGAAAAATGCACTTCCTCATCTGTGCTCCGCATTTGCTGAATAAAAAGGGCAAACTCGCCCTCATTCTTTCGGTTTTCGTTAAGTGGACGCACATACCATCTACGTTCTTGTTCTTTTTCTTTGCCATTGAATAGATCAATGCTACTGCCAGATGTTTACGAAACTGTTCTTCTCTCACAGCCGCCATCATTGTTGTTTTTAGGGGGTACACGCGGGCGGCGAGACACATGTTTACAACCCCGCCTCCAGCAGGGCGGGGGTGTCGGAATGTTCGAAGACAGTACACCGTCGCTTAGCCTTTTCGAACTTCTTTTTGCCCTCAAACGAAGAACGAAAAAGAACTTCTTTTGAAGTATATCAGGAGCTGTCAATCTCCAAAACGCATCATAACAGTAGTTCATACATTGCATGAGCTGCTCACCTGTGCTCTCGTCCCGCTGGGCGGCTGCAGGAAGGCAGAAGGTGTCCAGACACAACGGGTTTGGCAGCACGCGCATCTCCATGAGGATGTCGCAGAGGGCATGGCGTAGAGCCGCCCGGAGCTGGTCGGTCAGCTGCAGCGGGCTGATGTTACCCTGCTCCCACACGTCGAAGCGCACACACACGGCTGCACCTGCGCACAGGCACAGAGCTCACACACACCTCAACACACCATTACTGTAAACACTGTGTGTTTGCTAAAGCATCCCAACCTGAGCTCTGGCTGACGACAGTCGTCAAGGCCTCGAACTGGTCCGGCTGGAGGGAGATGCTGGAGACGTCTCCTCTGAGAGCCGGGCCGCTGCCGTCCTGAGCGGGAACCTGCAGCGCGCAGCCTTTAGCGTCCACGAACGACAGCGCGATGCAGGCGATACCTGGGGAGAGCAGGGTTAGAGGAGAGAGTGATGGAGAACAGAACTAAACGAGCTCGACAGAACTGAATGAATGATGCAAACAATGATGCAAAACTCACATGAAAGCAATACATTCTGCTAGAGATGCATGCTCATATGTCTCTTCAAACAAAGCCACTTCTACGCTCAAGGGGTTGATTTAAAACCAAAAGATTTTTTAATTGAAGGTCACATTAAATCAGTTTTTTTATCTTCATTTACTTTGCTACTTTTTCAAATGCCTTTTGTATACAAGTCTGATTACCCTCGACACAGCCTTGCAATCATACATTTTTGTAACTATAATCATTTTATTTAAAGCAACAGACTTCTTTTCTTTAATATAAAGGTAACATTAAATATGTATTTTATATCTTTATAAATTATGTTTCTTCTTTTTAAATGGATTTTATGTACAGATCCAATTATCCTTGACAAAAACACAACCTTTCAATCATAAAATATGAAAATAAATCATTAAAAAATTAAATTTTGAAACGATGATGATAAAAAAAGTTAAATAAACCATTTCAATATTTATTATTTAAAAATGTATTTAATTTTTACAAAAACTATGCTGTCTTTTACAAAAGATTTTTCCCCCAATGTTTTTTTTCTTTCTCCAAGTTATTAACTTGTTCACAAAAATATAAGATATGTGAGATGAACTAAATTAAAAAGAAATCCAATTAAATATCTGTGAAGAACATTTTTTATTGGGTGTCATTTCTAATCAAGCTGTAGTTTCTGCAAAAAGTATAAAAATGTCATTAAATTGTGTTTATTTAGGACACACAACTGCTAGCTATGAAAATACTGACTGACTCTATTCAAAACGTCATTTCCACACAGAATATTATAAAGCACAATACAGCATTTGAGATGTGGTGAAAATGACATGGTCGTGGAAATGATCATGATTTGCAAAAACAAAGAGCAGACAAAAATTGTTATTATTAACTAAAATAAAAAAAATCTTAAAAATATTTTTTGTGACTGAAATAAAATAAAAAATAAACTAATTTAAGAATAAACATAAGATGAAAAACTTAAAAGAAAAAATGAAATAAATAAATGTTTTTTTAATTGCCTTGGCAATTAACTAAAATAAAAATTACTAAAAACAAAAAAAAAAAGCTAAATAGAAATATTAAAAAAGGACTAAAGGACATAAAATTAAACTCATATTAAAATGATCCCACTGTCAAAGCAAACATATAAAGTGTGTTTTAAGAGAGTTTATTTTCTGAAGGTCCACAAGGCTGAACATTCCCATACTTGAAGAAACACCCATATGTAGCCTTAAATGATCTAAACACAACGATATTTCAGAAAACAATGCCTCTACTAGAGTACGCACTCTCATAAATCCTTTAAATGGGTTTTTATGCTGTTGTATTGACTCGGTTATGCTGTTTACAGCATGAAGCCAGCAGGCCTTGGGAAGCCGCGGCTCTGATAAGTGCAGAAAGAGAGAGATTTCCATCATTAGATTGTCAGAGATCGATGGCGCCTTCGCTCCAGTGGTTGTGGCTATAAAAAAGCCTCGCAAACAGAACGGCGGTCGCATTAAAAGGCATTAGCAGCAAACAGTGGAGCACGAGCTGGGATTTATCCAGCTGGTTGTATTAGCACATGCCGTTAGCGATGTGTGTGCGCCAGATATCAGATACTAATGCACCGCACACAATCACCTGAGATAAATGTGCATCTGTGCTCTCACATGCTAAAGTGTGCATGCATTTTGCATTAATGTGGATGCATGCATGAAAGTGTGTGTTCAGCTTGAAACATAAGCTACATAAGTACATGAGCTTAAACGCTTCCATCCAAGCAAGCTCAATTTCATGCATGGCGTTTTTGAAATATGTCAGACTGCGATTCATAATGCAACGCAAGTACGTGTCGCTTTCAGAGCAGTGCCAATCAATGAGCGGCTTCTCAACATCGTGGCCTCTCATCTAAGAACTCCATTTGCAGTAATCTTTTAAGTGCACTTGATGAGGTGTGATGTGACGTGGCGTGGCCCGGGCGGCCCCTGCGGTCCAGAGAGACTGCAAGAGGACAGAGAGAAGGCCCCTTCAGTCTCTGCTGGACTCTGGAGCTTTAGACAGACAGATAGAGTGATCACGGAAGTCACTTTCTGATTTATAATGACGGCGACCAGCGGCAGAGAGTGTGAATGAGATGATTTTACACTCTGAAGTGCCTGAATACAGACAATCTGATCCCATATTATACACTGCACAACATTATCATTTTATCTGTCCGTTGCAATGAGAAATGTTCAAAAAAAGAGAATATACTTAAGACAATGCATGCAATTTTAAAGGAAAATACTCTTTTTTTTTTTTTGTGAGTCACCTTATATTTCTGTTGAATAATCAGTAAAAGTGTCTGAATTACTAATACAGAAAATAACCAAAATCTATTAATAAATAGTTTCTATGTTCATTTGTACATGCTACTGATGTGTTTTGTCGTTAAAAGTTATATACCTCGACATGGACCCTTTTCACAAGACTGTGATGACTCTCGTTTAATGGTCATCAGCATTGTAAATCCTCCAAAGTTTTTCGTATTTGTATTTTAAAAAAAATGTATGTACATTTATAAAACTATTCTCTGTATTTTATTACCTTTGTGTCAAATTACAAAAGAAAAAAAACAAGTTAACGCTAATGCAGCGTCTATGGGAGGGATGGTAAATTTGACATGGTTCTCTCTTCTGTTCTCTCAATTTCTTCCTTTTTTTGAAAGTCACAAAAACACTATAGTGGAGCTTTTCTTTTGCTATTTGAGCAAATGGAATGCAAAAAATATATTTGTTCACTCATTCACCCATTCACTGCTCTTCAAGTTAACCCAACTATGGTGACTTCCGCTGCTGCAGATTAACAAAATGTGAAAAAGGTCCATTAGCAATTGCATTATATACTTACATGAATAATAAGCAACTAGATAAATGTAATAAAATAAAAAAAACACTAAAATAAGCTGTCGTTAATGTTAGTTAATGCATTAACAAAACTTAAACAATGAGTACTACATTTGTTACAGTATTTATTAATATTTGTTAACATAAGTTAATGAAAATACAACTATTCTTTGTTAGTTCATGTTAGCTCGGGTCCTTTAAATGATATCAACAGATACAAATTTAGATTTTAATAATGTATTAGTAAAGGTTAATTTAACATGAACTAACAATAAAGAATACGTTTAAAACTTTCAGCAATCTTAGTTAATGTTAACCAATGTGGTTAACTAATGTTGCTTAAGTGTTATAATTTTTTTTTCTAAGTTGCACACAATAATGTAAACATTGTATGGTGTTACATGCAAAGATACACTTTTCATACAATAAATATTTCAAATGAACTATTAACAGCATTTTTTGCTTTTGTTTCTCTTTTTTTAAGTTGCATTGGATAAAAGCGTCTGCTAAATGCACATATGTAAATCTATAATGAAATCACTCAAGCTAGCGGCTTAATACAAATTTTCCCCCACTGATTTCAACCCCTGAACACATTTGTATTAGCATTTGAAAACTTGTGGGAACAACGAACAGTGACCAATGAGCTCCAATTCACACAGAGGAACTTACAGGCCCTATGGTCTCCAACTTCAATATGGATTGGTACTTCACAAACTTAATGGCACATACTGCAAATTATACCGCAAGATGTCAATTGTGGTTTTGGTGATCGTTTACACAATGCTCCTTTTCTCAGTAAGCTCCACACTGACAGACCGCAAAAATTTGTGTCAGAAGCTTTCAATATTAGGTTGGTATTTGGGCAGCTAGCATAAAGGAACAGTTCACCCAATCAAAAAACATACATTTAAAAGTAAAGTCCGTTTCTCTCACATCTCATTTGCATTCACCTGCATAGCGATGCAAACAATCTGTAATTAAAAAAGCAATACAGTTCAACATTCTGCAAATATCAGATTCAATTTCCATCAGATCCTTACAAAAAAAAAGTTATCAAATGACTTCAAAAGACTTGGAATATCGTGCACAGGTCAACTTCCTTCCTGTGATGCTTTTGATCATTTTGGGAGAGCCCTTTCAATTTCATTATTTGGAAAGCGCACCTCAGAGATCACGTTAAACTGCTTTTTTGTGTTCCACAGAAGAACAAAGGTGAGTTTGGGTGAGTAAATGATGACAGAGCTTTAATTTTTGGGTGATCTGTCCCTTTAAGCCGTGATCACGTGACCATGCAGTACCACACTCAGCCAGTGGGGGCGCCACAGAACACACAGCACAACAGTGAAGAGGCTGGAGGCTCTTATACCTTCAAACTGAGAGATTGGGAAGAGATTCTGAACAAGGTCCGACATTGTACCTGCACAACAGATACCCACAGACAGAAATGATGAATGACAGACTGGACAAATCATGAACACCAACTCAATGATCAACCAATGAGCAGTGCGAGGAAGTGAAGAGTACTGGGATAAAAACTTCCAAGTTACAGCGTGCAATTTCTCTGCCACTAGCAGCACTTAATGAAACTACACTTTGAAACTAGCACTTTCAAGAAGCAAAATTCATGCGAGCAAATCTGTTTCTTAGGTTAATTTAAATTAACCAGAAAAAAAAATTATCACAGAATCAACTTGGCAATTAATGCTGCTTGCAAAACTCACTCCACAATATTTGACTTTTTTTCTAGTCAAGTGATAAATAATTAGCTAGATGCTACTGTTTATCACTACATTTTCAAACCTGCTCTATATAATTTATGGGGGTTGCTTTAAAAACCGTCATATTCAGATTTCAGACTAGAATTAAGATTCAATGTCATAAAAAAAAAATCATTTTGCATATAAATAACACCCATTTCTCTTTAAACCCCAACAGCATATCAATTTCTGATTAACGTTGGAAGCTAATAATTATTAGTCATAATTAAGACATAATTGTGAATTTTAACGGTCTAAATTCAGTTTGTTCATTAAGAATAATGATAAAGGGTTACTCATTTTGCATATAAATAACACCCATTTCTCTTTAAACCCCAACAGCATATCAATTTCTGATTAACGTTGGAAGCTAATAATTATTAGTCATAATTAAGACATAATTGTGAATTTTAAAGGTCTAAATTCAGTTTGTTCATTAAGAATAATGATAAAGGGTTACACTTTATTTTAAGGTGTCCTTGTTACACGTTACATGTACTTACTATATGGTTAGGGTTAGGATTAGGGTTTGGCTTAAGGTAACTTGCATGTAATTATGCACAATTTATTGTTGTTATAATAGTAAGTACATGTAACGTGTAACAAGGACACCTTCAAATAAAGTTGAAGGTTTAAAGGTAAAAAAAGGTTTACGAGGAGACATATTTTGTGCAACTAAAGTGCATTTCACATTATTCTCTGCGGCAGCACAAAATGATAAAATACACAAATATATAATCACTTACACCTCTAATGCACATCCTCATTATGCTGAATAAGTGCTTAACAGCTCTTTATCATTAAGTTAAAAAGAGGGAAAGAAATATAAAATTGCCCAGCATATCCATTTTTTGTTAGCAGTATATTAGTATTCAAGTTTGATACAGTTGTCAGTGTTAAAAAACGTTCTTTGTAACAGATTAATAGTGGTTTAAATAAATCAACAAAAATAAGCTTCACAGTCATCTAACAATCTGAAATTCTGAGTTACATTATCCTCCCCAACACTGCTGAGAGAGATGAAGATGATGAAAATGGAAGGAAAATGTCAAATTTAAATTTAAACGAAACTCCAGTGTTGTTACTGTTAACTTAACCGAACACTAAAACATTTCCTTTAATTGAAACGAAGTTGTAATTAAATGTTAAAATTAGATTAGAATTTTAAATAAAAAAAAGACAAATAGAAGTGTTGCTTTGGCGACTAACAAATGAAAAAGTACTAAAATTATAACTAAAACTGAACAAAAATGTATAAAGCTAAATAGAAATATAAAAAAACCCTAATCAAAATAACAAAAGCACAAAACAAAATTAATAAAAAATAAAGTCAAATTAAAATAAAAAAACAAAAAAAAATTACATTTAAATAAATAATATTATTTATTAAAATAATAATAAAATGTAATAAAATTAAAAATATCAATAATATTAGTAACAGCAAATAACACTAATTAAATGTAATTGTGTAGTAGGGTATGTTTTGAGTCATACCAGGACATATGAAGGCTTGTGGGAAACTCATTTCATACCCACACTGCACTGGTCGGGCTGATAATATCGAACTTCTTGAATTGAATAGAATATTGAACATCTCACTAAAGTCCTGCCAACTGGCTGCCTTTCAAAACCCCGGAGGAGCTGCTGAGACCTCACAGGAGCTGATATTACTGATCCTGCATCAATGAACCCACAAGGTTCCAGGTGATTCCAGGAGCCACGAAGCCCTTTATTTACATTCTGATGAAGTGCATGAGCAGTAATGGTGGAGAGCATCCTGTAATGTTCCTTTTAATAGCAGGTGCATTAGGAGATCTTCAGCAGCAGCTCTGGCAGGTATTTGGGTGGACTGTCAGTTCATTAGTGGTCGGGAAAGCGGGGAAGAGGAACCCTGTGGCTCCAGGCCGGAGCTGCTACTGCTTGCACTGTCTCCACCTGACAATTATCTCTCTGCAGTTTGGGATCAAGTCATATTAGGACCCTAAGAGGCTTGTTAAACACCCTTCACGTTAATGAGACAGACCTGAAGCTTCCCCTCCACAGCTCTTAAAATACTCACAAACTTCCCACTTGTACTTTATATTTATAAACTCCACATGCACCCAAAGGAGTGTTAAAAAGCTTGGTTTGAAAACCTGAAGGGGTCGGATGCAGATTTCGGAATTGATTTCAAATTAAATATCAGCTTTAAAGCCCAAATTCAAACTGCAACGTAATTTTGCACTTAAAGTTCTACGCCTATTTTTATTTACCCCCGACAGCATGTCACTTAAAGAATAATGGCAGAAGACGATTGTTATTAGTCATAATAGAACAACTTTTTTCAAAAATGATTTTTCACTATTATTTACAACAGGATCTGCATTTTAAGGCGTTTTAAATAAAAGATTTTTGCTATAAAAGACAACAACTTTGTGCATCAAAACCACTCATTTCCTGGCAAAAGAAAGAAAAAAAAAAACAACACGAAACATAATTCAGCAACAGCTGAATGTAACAATTTGACAAAACAAATGTGTCAGTCTATGAGTAACAGCCACAAAATAAACGTCATTGCATGACATAAGTATAACGAACTACGCAAAAAACATTTAGAACATCTCCAGCACGTTTTATAATTACCCAACTCAAACATAGTTCCCCGGTCATGCATGATATCACATCCGTCAAAAACTTGGCTGTCGGTTGAAACTAAAACTAAAATGGGCATCAATCACTTCACTGACTGCTTGCCGGCTAAGAAATAAATAATTATTGCCTTACTATTCATCTGTTTTCAAATCCACATTCTCAAAACTAAATTTAAATATCACAACATTGATGTCTGTCAAAAAATAACATGCACAATACACAGCAGTATTTACGAGAAGCCAGCAGAGGACCAGGGAGTACATACAACTCCTGAATAACCCACACTACTTGATGTTTTGATTATGTCATCTCTTTCTAAGAAGAAGCAGAAAATGCCGGCCTGAGCAGATTCAACGTGCTGTCTGTCAGAGATGACAACGTACCTAATACAAGCTAGTATAAATTTGTTCTTTGTTCACTGAAATTGAATCTGAATGATCGGGGAACTGAGTGAAATACTTCACACTGCATGCTAAAGAGAATACATGCTAAAGAGAATAAATGCCAAATCAATGGAAAAAAGCCAGGCTTCTGTACATGACATTTTGACGGACATTGTCTTTAATGCACAAACTTTGCTCTCTGATTCTGACAACCATCACCTCCGTCGCCGGAGAGCCGGGAGGCTGAATGAACTGAGACAAAGAGGAAAAAATGACGTGCAATAACCAAAAATCATCTCCACAGTCTATTATCCAACCATTAATTAATCTCAGATGACACACCCGCTGCCGCCCACAGAAGAAAAATTAGAAAAACAGAGACCAAGCCTTCAGATGCTTTGGTTCTGGATGCATATCAGTGATATTTCAAAAAAATCTTCAATAAAGACTTCTAAACCAACTCGCTCTGAGATGAATCACAACATTAGAAGCTTTGATTCAAAGTATTTAAAAATCTGAAAAAAGGCACCAAATTCACACAGCTTCAGAAGACTTGAAATACAGCCCATGAGTTGTATTTTATGATACTTTTATGTAAATTTTTTCCACAAATGTCTGTCTCTGCATAGGGTGGGCAAATATAATTCATCTGCTTAATCTGCACTATACAACCTGTGGCGAAAGAACAAGTCTGTCACAGACAAAAGATGGTCAAAGAAGAGAAAGAGAAATCACCTCCACATCTGCAGGCGTCAGTTTGCAGTTTCTGACCAGCATGACCGTAATAATGTCCAGCGTGGCCTCGTCCAGACGCTTCCTCAAAACCTTCACCAGTTCATCAGAGATCTCTGGACCTGCCCATCACAGAGCATCATATCTCACTTCAAAATATGACACAATATGGAAGTACAATAGTTCACAGATAGCAAGCCGTTTGATTTTGACTTTAAGTCTCCCGAGCAGGTGCTGAAATCCCTCAGAGCTGCTCGCTAAACCCAGAAATGTCCCAACCAATTATAAATATGCATTTAAAGACAAACTGATGAAACTGGAAAAGATTTCCCTGGCTACACTTTGAAAAGAAATGACTCCTGGCCCTGATAACAGCAGGATGAATGCAGAGCAACAGCGCCTCCTGCCAGCTGCTGATGATACTGCAGGTGATGCTGGAGAATCCTGAGAGTTTAACTCTGCTAAAAATCAATGCTGTTGTTTATTGGTGGCTTAAAAAATTATTTTTAGTGAAATAAATGCAATTTCATTGTTTATCTAAATATTTGCTGCATGCTCAACATACATCTCCTGACAAAACTTTGGGTGCACAGCTGAATTTACTGTATATACAGTAAAATGACATGAGAAATCTATATACAAATATATATATATATATATATATATATATATATATATATATATATATACACACACACACACACACACACACACACACACACACAGTGTTGGGGAAAATATTTGTAAAAGTAATGCATTACTCCATTTAAAAAAGTAACTAATTGCATTACTTAGTTACTTTTTTATTTAAAGTAATGCATAACGTTACTTTTGTGATAGTTTTTGTCACCTGGGCTGGACTTGCTTGTTTTTGTTTAATAACAAAAAACCCAAATGTTATATTTTTTGGCAACTGTAAAGGGCCTTTCACACCAAAAGTGAAATTAATAAGCCTCTTCCTCTGCACCTCACTCCCAGTTTCTCTAAACGCAGGGACAGGAGGGATGTCAGTTAATAAATGCCAAAACAAAGTAACTTGCATTACTTATTTGAAAGAGTAACTACGATATTTCATTGTAAATTTAAAAGTAATTCGCTACTTTACCAGTTACTTGAAAAAAGTAAGTCTTGTAATTTTACTTTGCATTTGGATTTTGTCCTTCTTTCACCCAAATATAATGCATGGGCCTTTAATGCAATATTTGCCAATAAAAATGACAATAATAAAAAATAAAACACTTTATGGTGTAACATGTTTTAGTCACTATGTTGCATGTTAATATGTGTTATAATTTACTGTTCTTCTTTCGGCTTCTCCCAATTAAGGGTCGCTACAGCAGATCACCCGTCTCCATTTTGCTCTGTCCTCTAATTTTCCTATTATTTTAAATTGTGCAAAATAGTCATAGCAAAGAATGAGTCGATATGGACTGATTTATTCAACATTTGTTCCCCAAAATTAAAAGGAAGGCAGAATTGTCAGCCGTTTACACATGACTCATTCTTGCTTTCATTCTCTGCTTTTTTTTTTTTGATTTAGACGGATGTCCTTGGTCGTTGTGCTGCGTCTTGCTGCTTTTTCAACATTTTGCACTATGAACGACACGTATTCAAGAAGCTGAAAAACGCATCTTAAAGGTGCTGTAATGTATTTTTTTGACTGCAGTAATGCATAAAAATACCGAAATATGTTTGCAGATATTTAAGAAACATGCTTGATATTTAAGATAACATACTTGTTTTTCTGAAAAACTATGCTACAGCCGGTTATTCCACTTTGAAATGTACGTTGTGACAGAATGTCTGTTTTTGTTTTGGTCTGTGTGATTCTGCCCACTGCCAATTTACCCAATAGTATTCGATACCCAGGGTAGCCAGGTTGCAGAAAACCCAGCTTACTGCAGCCATGGAATCCAACAAATGAGCTAGGTTAGAGATCGCAGATTCTTAAAAGCCTTGGCATCCATCAAAAAATCTTTATGAGCAGAGAAATATTAAAATGCGGATAAATCAACTCATCAACTTACAGTGTAAGGCTCATCACCTTCTGTCGTCAGTAGCGCTTGTTTCTGTTGTGTGACTTAAATCTGGCAACTTGCATAAGCATCGAGTCTGAGGAGGAGGGGGCGGGAGAAACAACTCTCTGCAATATTTTGAATGTGGACTGCAGTACCCATGTCAACCTCTAGCTGTCGATATCACAAACTGCACCTTTAAGATCTCTGCGCTCTATTATATTGAGTTGCGCTATATTCAGCTGCTTACAAATGCAAGAATGGGTCTGAACTTAATGGTTCCTTATTCGTTTTTCTTTCAGTAAGTGTGGCTGGTGTAGTGGTGTAACATCCCTCACAGAAACCAATGCACTTCATTCATCTTTTTTTCCGTCGTGGTACTGTGAGAAACATTTATCCATCTCTCTCTCTCACCTGCGGTCCCTACGCCATGCACCTGCAGCAAAATGTGTTTGTCCACCAGTCCAACCGGCCTTGAGCCTTCCAGAGAAGAGCGTGATGCCTATGAACATGATACATGTCATCATACACTCACATAAAACATAACACACATCACATCAGGACTCACGGGAGCACGTTCTACGCCTGCTTTTCAGGCTATAAACACATAATTGCTCACATCTCCCATTTCTATAGCTCGTCCCATCAGGATGAAGCTCATAAATGGTGTAAACACAAGGACAAGTCACTCTGGAAGGCGATCTGAGCCCTAATGGCTCCTGAGGGCTCTGGTTTCCTAAAGCGTAATGAGAAGTGACAGTATGTGAATGTTACCGTGAGGTCCTCAGAGCCCAGCGGCTCCTGGCTGCGAGCCAGACCGACAGAGCGCGACACGTGCACGTTTCCATCCAAATCACTGTACTTCCCTGCCTGAGACGTCTCGGAGAGTCTGTGGAGACGGACAGAAGGGACGAGGAGGTCAAGAACATGAAAAGAATTCAAATACATTCTAGCGAGACTGGAGGAGAGAAGCCACAGATGGAGAAATTAAAGAGATATTATAGTGGCAGACAGATATGAAACACATTTTCTGCTTTCAATTATTTCTGAGTGACCTACAAGTAAATATTGTGCAAAAAATATTTGTTGGGTAAGGTAATAATAAATATTTGTGAATGTGTATACATATAAATTATAATGTGCCTGTGTATGGGCATTATATCAATCGTCAAGATTTAGTGAAGTTCCTTTGAAATAGCAGCTTAATGAACAACTAAAAGTGTCTAATTAAATTGAGGATGATTAAGAGAACAAGATCTTTTTAAAGGAGATGATGACAGAATTTATTTAGCAATCAGACCTGGATTTATCTTGCACAAAACAATAAGGATCGGGTGATAAAACAATGAATTAGGTAATAAATCTACAAATAAAAAACAAAAACCAGATAACACTACTCATAAAAAATTTGGGTTAGTAAATTATAATTAAAAAAAAAAAAAATTAATACTTTCAGTTCAAAAAAGGGTGAAATTCAGTTCATGCACACCCTGGGAATTGCACCCCTGACATTGCTGTTGGAAGCAACTCTTCTTTACTCTGCTCCTCAGATACCAGCATCATTCACTGAAAAGCTCATATTGGTCAATAATATGAAGAAACGCCGAGCTTGTGACTCACCGGAGGTAGAACACAGATTTGGTGGTGCGCTCCTGATAAACAAACATGTTTTTGCGGTTTACCACACAGAAAGCATTTAGAACGGAGCGCAGAGCCTGGATAGCTGAAAGGACCAGAGAAAATACAAGCTTAGCAGTTTTTCAAAGTTAAAACATGTTTTCATGAGGAGCCACCTGATTGGTCTGATGTGGTGTCACTCACCCCGGGACACGCCCATGTTGGGCCCCATTTTAAGGCGCGGGTGAATGTAAATAACGGTGCTCCAGACCACGTCACAGGCGAAGTAACCCGGGATGAACTGCATGGTGGCGGCAAGGTAGTCCCGCGGCTGATAGCTCTCATCTGCATTGTAGTCTGAGGCAGAAAAAAAGGTATAATTATGGGGATAAGAGTTTCATTTTAGCAACTTCATAACAAAAGGGAGATTAGCAGGATTAGCTGAACTCAACAGGCCCGCAGAGCACCTCAAGTTGTACGATACAGATGAAGCATTTGAGCGTTCATCTCGGTGGTCGACCGGATCCAATTCATTTGCACAGTCTGAGGCAGAACGATGAGGACATTAGTGCGCTAATTCACGCTAAACAGCAGTTATAGAATTGTAGTCAATGAGGCGAGTGCTCAGACTCATACTGCTGTCTCATTATCACCACCCTTGAATTGACCTTCCCGATGGGTTTTTGAGTGGGAGTCTGTGTTTGTTTGCATTAGTGTAGATCGTGCTGCATTTTACAGCAGCTTCATCAGGTTTTATTAAATCTGCACTGCATATCAAGAGTGCAACAATATCAGCAGTTTTCAATTAAACACAGCCATCCGCACGGTGTGGGTCTGGCCAAGCACAGGGCTGCGTGATTCATTCAAATAAAACTGAAATCAAGATATGGCTTTGTGCTGTTATCACAGATGCTGCAATTTAATTAAAAAGACTGCAACAATTATTTTCATCTTGTTTTCCAGTACAAATATATTAATATTCTTAAATCAGTTAACATAAGATACTAAGTCTTGTGCATCTTCTGCATCAAAATTAAACAAGTTTTAATGCCTAAAACAATAGCCAATGGGATCAGAAAAATCCAACTGATTTAAGTTCGTGTTTTTTTTTTATATATATATATGATTGGCAGATAGCTTTTCTTGTTTTAAGCAAAAACTTACTTAAATTTTATTTTGATAAGAATGCTGAAAAAATATATATTTTTTGCAATGCAAGAGTTCGGGTCTTGTCTTGGGTCAATGTGTTTCGAGATATACAATCAGAAACGCTTTTAACCAGCTAAAATAATTTCCTTATTTTCAAACATTAAAGCATCAAGCTTTCAAAGCAGCAATAAATATTGCAACAGTCACTGCTGTACTGACAAATAAATTATTTTACAAATATTTTAAATATTAGATTTTTTATTTTGCAGTAAAATAGTACAATCTTAATATTTCTTATCTTGATATATTTCCACTATTTTTTTTTTGCCAAATCTGCTTTTATTTAATTGCGTTTTAAAACGTGCAAATCACAATTTTATCAGAGCGATAAAAAATATAACTAAATAAGTAATTAAATACATACATACAATCTCAATTAGATAATTGACTCTGGCATGTGCATGGATCTGGAGCAATAAGAGTGAAAGATTAATATTTCATGCATGTGTGTTTTATTTAGTCATTAGAATTAGTAACTCACAGCTATTTATCTTTTAACCTTCAGCATCAGTTTTATTTAGTAATAATCAGAATGGGCTACTCTCCCATCTCATTTGGCATTAAAGACTCCCAAATGTGTGATGAAATTAAAAGGAAATGAAAAAGCAAAGCAGACTGAGCTGGAACGTTCGATTCCATAAGTAAGCTTTTTATAGATGAAGATTAATATTTTCGGACAGATTTAGGCCTAGCTATTTTTAAATATGAAAACAAATAATCAATACACACATATACATATATATATATATATACACACACACATATACACATATACATACATACACCCCTTATATTTTTGGTATACCCTCCTTACCAAAACAACAATCATCCATGTCCACAAAAACTATGAGACAGCGATGAAACCATCTTTCTTACATTGCGATGTTAATCGAGCCTTAAAAAGGTCTCCCATCCAATTCTTTCACTTGCTGATTTTTGCTTTTTGCTTGCATTTGGCGCTTTCTGAATGTGAATTTTATAACCTGAGCGTGTCTCTGGAGCAGTACCTGGCATGAGAAAAAACCTCCACTCTGTCCTGATGAATTCTGATGATGAGCCAGAAATCAGGCATGAGCGGCGTCTGTCTCTCCTGCTCATTCATTGTGGGTCCGTCGCACTCAGAATCACTGCTGCCTCCATCATAACCTGACACACACACAGCAGAGAGCAGAGGGACCATGAGGAATGATGACTGTGATGTTTAATCATGCTGTGTGTTGTGTGAAGCCTCACCGAGCATGTCTGAGTCCAGGCTGCCCTGACTGGAAACGACGCTCTGAACTCGACTGGGACGCAATTTCCCACTGCCTGAAAGCAACAGGAATTCAAAGCCGCTTAGAATAAATAGTATGAACTTTATTACTAGAGTCTAACAAACAAACAAAATCACTGCACCAGAAAACATCCAAAAAGTCAACATGTGTAAGCCACAATCCAAAATCATGTGACATATTCAACTGTTAGCGATCTCTGTTTTAAAGGAATAGTTCACCCCAAAATAAAAATCTGACGAAAATGTCCTCACCTTTAGGTCATCCAAGATGTAGACGAGTTTGTTTGTTCATCAGATTTGGAGAAATGTAGCCTTCCATCACTTGTTCACCAATGGATGCTCTGCAGTGAATGGGTGCCGTCAGAATGAGAGTTTAAACAGCTGATAAAAACATCACAATAATCCACAGCACTCCAGTCCATCAGTTAACTTCTTATGAAGCCAAAAGAAACAAATCCATCATTAAGACTTTTTAACTTCAGACTTCTGGCCAAAATCCATAATAATGCTTCCTCCAATGAAAAAGTTCATCCCCTGTTGTCTCTCACATTGAAATCCACCCACATATTTGTTAAGATCTGTTTTGGCTTGTAAGCGGTGTTTTGATCTGTGCAGATTTCTTTCCTGATTCAGACCAGTTTTTCACTGGAGGAAGTGTTATTATAGATAGAGGACTCAAGCAATGGTTTGAAGTTAAAAACACCATAATGATGGATTTGTTTTTTACAAACACGCAGCTTTTGGCTTCTCAAGATGTTAACTGATGGACTGGAGTGGTGTGGATTATTGTGATGTTTTTATCAGCTGTTTGGACTCTCATTCTGACGGCACCCATTCACTGCAGAGCATCCATCGGGTGAGCAAGTGATGAAATGCTATCTTTCTCCAAATCTGATGAACAAACAAACTGGCCTAGGGAGAGGACATATTCAGCAGATTTTTATTTTTGGTTAAACTATTCCTTTATGATGACTCTTGCACATGGCATTGTAATTGGCATTGAAATACTTCTTTGTTGTCTTTTTCATCCTCATAGTATGCAGGCTTTTTTTGCAACTTTTCACCTAATTAGAGTCCAGTGTTGGGAAGGTTACTTTGGAAATGTAATAGGTTACAGATTACGAGTTACCCTATTTAAAATGTAATAAGTAGTGTAACTATTTAAATTACTTTATTAAAGTAATGTAACTGATTGCATTTGATTACTTTTTGATTAGGCTACTTTTCAAAATTCAAAATTCTACATTTTTCTAAACTGTTAACCATTTTCAAACATGTAAAGCATGCAGGGTTAACCTTACAGTATACTCAACACTGATTACCGTCAGAATTTCAAAATCCTTCATCACTTGAATTAAGATTATAATAATTGAATTTTAAAGCACACACAAAATCAGACTTTAGCACCTCTTTTTACTTTGAGATTGTTCTGGAGGTAAAATACAGATTTGAAATCATAACAAAATATATAGTTTTATAGCTATGATACTGTTTTTGAAATCAAATCTTTGCACAGCTAGGACAGGAAACACTGGCATCTAACAATAAAAAACGTTTAATTTAAAAATAAAGCATATACACAAGCCTAAACTCCTGAAACATCGGTGTCTCATATTTTAGAGCAGTCAATGTAATTTTGGAAAGAAATCACTCAAATCTGTTTGTGAGTGAAAATATTCAGTCGTAACCTCCTTTGTAATCGTTAACATTTTCACAAGTAACTGTAATTTAATTACACTTTTTTTTTACACAGTAACCGTAACAGATTGGTTACATTTATTTTGTAATTAAATTACGTCATTCTGTTACATGTAACTAGTTACTCCCCAACACTGTCAGAGTCTAACAGTTTGCACTGGCTGCCAATAGCCGCTCGCATCAAATTCAAGGTACTGGTGTTTGCTTACAAGACAACCACTGGCACTGCACCAATATGTGACCCTGGAGCACAAAAGCAGTCTTAAGTTGCTGGGGTATATTTGTAGCAAAAGCCAAAAATACATTGTATGGGTCAAAATTATACATTTTTCTTTTATGCCAAAAATCATTAGGATATTAAGTAAAGATCATGTTCCATGAAGATATTTTGTACATTTCCTACCGTAAATATATCAAAACATAATTTATGATTAGTAATGTGATTGCTAAGGACCAAATTCCTTTGGACAACTTTAAAGGCAATTTTCTCAATATTTAGATTTTGTTGCACCCTCAGATTCCAGATTTTCAAATAGTTGTATCTCAGCCAAACATTGTTCTATCCTAACAAACCATACATCAATGGAAAGCTTATTTATTCAGCTTTCAGATGATCTAGAAGTCTCAATTTCGAAAAATTGACACTTAAGACTGGTTTTGTGGTCCAGGGTCACATATACCTAAACTCGCTAGTTCAGACTTGTGTGCCCTCCAGAAGCTTGCGCTCTGCAAGTGAACGCCGCCTCGTGGTGCCATCCCAAACAGGCACAGAATCACTCTCACTGACCTTTTTCTGGACTGTCTGGAACACCCTGCCTATAATCGCAATTCGATCAGTCCTTCAGCCATTTTCAAAAATCTTTTTCACCAGCACCTGACCAATTAATACTAGCACTTACCTATTCTATTCGTTTTAGTCTAATTTATTTATTAAAAAAATAAAAAATAATTGCAATGTGTAATGTGTTAGACTAACTGAGATTTGTCACAGCACTTGTATACTGTTACTGTCTTGTTGCTTTGATTGCTTCTATTGTTCTCCTCATCTGCTAAATGACTAAATGTAAATGTGAGTTCACAAGCAGCATCTCAGTACAGTCGGATGAGGTGGGTTTCTCGTGACACTCACTGTGTGTGGTGGACTGCACGGACTCGACCAGGCTGGCGGCGGAGGGGGTTTTGGGAGGCGACGTGTGATCAGATGAGCGCTCGGTGCTGCTGCTGCCCGCCTGCAGGTGAGCGTCACTCTGAGGTCGAGTCTCCTCCGCGTCGGCCTGTTTCAGCTGCCCGGGGTCAGAGGTCTCGGAGAGAGACTCGCTGGCTGAATCAGCTGCTGCAGGCCGCGTGTCCTCATCAGCCCTCTGCACTTCTCCACACTCCACCAGCTGCGGGAAAAAACAGAGGAATCATAATCCAGATGACAGCAAGTCAACTTTGTTAAATCTGAGTGTTACATACATTTACTTAAACCACATTTTATTTTAAAGTTAATGTTATAACTTCATAATTAAACAAATGCCATGCATTTCTTCAGGTATGGTTTCAAAGATTGCTGATAACTACCTCAGTGTCGGGCTCTTTTTTCTTGGACTCTGCATCTCTGTTTGCTGATGCTCTGGCTCCGTCCTCCACCTCAGGACACAGGCTGCTCTGCCGAGACACTGTTCCTGCAGCTGTTGAGTACTGAGCAGCGATGTTAGACAGCTGTGTCGCGGCCTGAAGCCTGTGAGACTGCTGGCGACTCAGTGAGACGTAGTGAAAGTTGTGCTGCTCGGCGTTCAGCAGGTAACCAGGAAGCGATAACCTCTTGAACTCCTGCAGCGAGGAAGCAGGGACGTGTTATTAAACAGCGGGGCAGAACATAATCTCGTTCCTGACCTTTCCTGGAGAGTCTTATCACCAATAATAGAGGTCATCGCATGAGTTCAAACCTCTTGAAACTTTTCCAGCGACTGCTCGGGACCAAATACGAACTGCAAGGGAACGAGCTCACAGTGGCACTGCGGGCGGCCGCTGGAGCGACACACGTGCTCCGACACTTTCTGCAGCGTGGAGGAGCTGATAACAGACGAGTGCCGCAGAGCGGAGACTATCTCATCCTCCAACAGCCAACGGATCTGAAACAGGTCACAGACAGGGTTATGATCAGTGTTAGGGGTCACGCATTACAAGTAACGCGAGTTACGTAATCAGATTACTTTTTTCAAGTAACTAGTAAAGTAACACATTACTTTTTCATTTACAAGAAAATATCTGAGTTACTTTTTCAAATAAGTAATGCAAGTTAATTTTTTTCCAATGTATTGATTGACAGCTCTGGTGTTGCCATGGTGACAGAAATCAGATGTCGTCACTGTAGTTCTAAAATAAATATGAATATGCATTAATTCATCTCCCTCACAAAAAAACAAAAACAAATTCAGTATTCCTCAAAATGAATAAAAACAATGCAACTCAGAATATGACGCAAACCTGCAATAATTAAATGTTAAACAACACAAATATCCTTTATGTATTTAATCCCATTTTATTAACCAATGTCTTTGCTTCTGACCTTCGATGATCCAATTCAACCGTACTAATCAGCGCAAATTACTCCAGACAAACATTTGTGTGTCTTTGTTTATTGCTGAAGTGTGTTGAAATTTCTTCTTCTGCATTCTACTGTACGGACGTAACTTTACTTTCCCTTCAGCCTGAGGCTTATTCATTTCTCTTTTGGTGTGAAAAGTTTTTTATGTTTGCCAAAAATAGAACTTTTTTATTTTAAAAACAAACAAGCAAGCCCAGACCAGATTTAAAAAGTAACACAAAAGTAACGTAATGCATTACTTTCCATAAAAAGTAACTAACGTAATTAGTTACTTTTTTATGGAGTAACGCAATATTGTAATGCATTACTTTTAAAAGTAACTTTCCCCAACACTGGTTATGATGTTATATGTGACCCTGGAGCACAAAACCAGTCATAAGGGTACATTTTTGGAAATTGCGATTTATATATCATCTGAAAGCTGAATAATTATGCTTTCCATTGATGTGTGGTTTGTTAGGATAGGACAATATTTGGCCGAGATTCAATTATTTGAAAATCTGGAATCTGAGGGTGCAAAAAAAAAAAAAAATCAAAATATTGAGAAAATCATCTTTAAAGTTGTCCAAATGAAGTTCTTAGCAATGCATATTACTAATAAAAAATTGTTGATATATTTATGGTAGGAAATTTACTAAATATCTTCATGGAACATGATCTTTACTTAATATCCTAATTATTTTTGGCATAAAAGAAAAATCGATAATTTTGACCCGTACAATGTATTTTTGGCTATTGCTACAAATATCCCCCAGCGACTTAACACTGCTTTTGTGCTCCAGGGTCACAAATAGTACTGTATATATTATTATTTATTTTTATAAATGTATACATTATATATTATAACAAAAACTAAACTAAAACCATAAAAAAAAATCATAAGCAAAATACATGTAATAAAATTATTAATTTATTTCAGTTAGGTAACATCTCTAATTGTTGTTTAGTTTTAGTACGAAAATAAAAAAAATTACTAAAAACAATAGACACATAAAAAAAACCTAATAAAATGACAAAAACAGAACAAAATGACTACTAAAATCTAAACTGAAAATGGAAAATGGAAAAAACAAAAACTAATTCAAAGTATTAATGAAAACTAATAGATTATTAATGATACTAAAGTAACACTCGTCAGAGCCAGACAAAAACAATATCTTAACAGAGAGATCCTCCTTTGGCAATAATAAACAGTCTGAACTTTCATGCATATTTCATATACTGTGCTTTCATTACTGGATCAATGTTAAATAATTGGGTAACACCTTACGATAAGGTTCCATTTGTTACCATTAACTACATTATTTATAATAATTATTTATCATTTAGTTAATTCATCATTTATGAATTAACAATGTAACTTTATACTTTATTACAAGCATTAATTAATCATTGCTAAATGCAACATTTACCAATGCATTGTTAAAATGAAAAGTTGAATCTGGAAATATTATTTAATGGAATTGAACTAACATGAACTAATAATAAATGTGACCCTGCAGCACAAAAGCAGTGTTAAGTCGCTGGGGTATATTTGTAGAAATAGCCAAAAATACACGGTATGGGTCAAAATTATTGATTTTTCTTTCATGCCAAAAAATCATTAGGATATTAAGTAAAGATCATGTTCCATGAAGATATTTTGTAAATGTCCTACTGTAATTATATTAAAACTGAATTTTTGATTAGTAATATGCATTGCTAAGAACTTCATTTGGACAACTTTAAAGATGATTTTCTCAATATTTAGATTTTTTTGCACCCTCAGATTCCAGATTTTCAAATAGTTGTATCTCGGCCAAATATTGTCCTATCCTAACAAACTATGCATTAATGGAAAGCTTATTTCTTCAGCCTTCAGATGACATATAAATCTCAATTTAACCCTGTGACCCTGGTTTTGTGGTCCAGGGTCACAAATAGTTGTATTTTCATTAACTAATATTAATAAATACTACAACAAATGTATTTCTCACTGTTAGTTAATGTTAGCAAATAATTACTAATGGGAATTACTAATTATTTAACAATGTAATAATTTTACATAATTGAAAATTATAATATTAAATAAAAAAAATATTTTCATTTAATTTGCACTCACCTCATCCATGGTGGCTAAAACAGCCATTTTGTGCGGAATAGGAAGTTTGGACAGGGGATCTCCAGACATACTGCAGAAGACGACAAAAAAAGTTATTACTGAAGATATTTGGCAACAGATGATGTCTGCTGAGCTCCGAACGCTCACCTTTCCACACAATGAAAAGTTGAATCTGGAAATATTATTTAATGGAATTGAACTAACATGAACTAATAATAAATGTGACCCTGCAGCACAAAAGCAGTGTTAAGTCACTGGGGTATATTTGTAGCAATAGCCAAAAATACACGGTATGGGTCAAAATTATTGATTTTTCTTTTATGACAAAAATCATTAGGATATTAAGTAAAGATCATGTTCCATGAAGATATTTTGTAAATGTCCTACTGTAATTATATTAAAACTGAATTTTTGATTAGTAATATGCATTGCTAAGAACTTCATTTGGACAACTTTAAAGATGATTTTCTCAATATTTAGATTTTTTTGCACCCTCAGATTCCAGATTTTCAAATAGTTGTATCTCGGCCAAATATTGTCCTATCCTAACAAACTATGCATTAATGGAAAGCTTATTTCTTCAGCCTTCAGATGACATATAAATCTCAATTTAACCCTGTGACCCTGGTTTTGTGGTCCAGGGTCACAAATAGTTGTATTTTCATTAACTAATATTAATAAATACTACAACAAATGTATTTCTCACTGTTAGTTAATGTTAGCAAATAATTACTAATGGGAATTACTAATTATTTAACAATGTAATAATTTTACATAATTGAAAATTATAATATTAAATAAAAAAAATATTTTCATTTAATTTGCACTCACCTCATCCATGGTGGCTAAAACAGCCATTTTGTGCGGAATAGGAAGTTTGGACAGGGGATCTCCAGACATACTGCAGAAGACGACAAAAAAAGTTATTACTGAAGATATTTGGCAACAGATGATGTCTGCTGAGCTCCGAACGCTCACCTTTCCACACCGACCCCGCGCAGGCCGTCCAGATTAGCCATGAGCTCCTCGTCAGAGCGATAGGACGAGGGCTGTCCAGGAGAGCGGTTCAGAGACACGCTGCTCTCAGACGTGTATCTACAGTATATATGTGGGTCAAAGACATTAAGATGTCCACATCAAAAGAAATTTACTAAAGTGTTTTTATGTCCATAGAAAGCACATGTAAGTAAAGTGTCTACTTTTAAGGTTTCAAATAAGTTTTTGGAGAATAAAATGTCAAAATGTGGTTGAAATGATGTTACATTGTCATTCAGTGCAACACAATATTTATGCAAAAATTCAAACAACATGCTTATTCTGACATGTACATATTAAAATATATAAAAGAATAAGGGAGCATATTAAATTTGATTGTGTTTTAAATGAGTAAAAAATTCTTACTGACAAATGGGCAAAACCTAGGATAGTGGCAACTTTTAAAAATGTAAAATTACAAATAATTAGTATTTGGGGTGAAAGTACTTAGTCTTTTAATATGTCATAAATTGATTTTTGTTGTAAATATGCCTGACAAGATTGTTACACTGAATGACATTTTAGTGTCTCTTCTGTAAATCAGGGAAAAATTTATTATATTTATTTTTTGCTCAGAAAAACTAAAACAAAAATTGCAATTAAATTAAACAGAATTTTGTAAAAAAAAATTGGGGGGAAAACAACAACAATTTAAAGCAGTATTACACATTGTTTTTATGCTTAAACCCTTTTTCGTCTTTGACACACGTACAGAGAAAAATCAGGATCACTCTAGCTGGAGCCACGCCGTTTGATTCTTTCCCAAATCTAGGACGCTTCACAATCACTGACCTGTTGTGGTGGAAGTCAGGAGTCATGACCTCGATCTCCAGAGGTAACGTGAGCACGAAGATATCAAGAGTGACAGACAACTCGTTCAGATCCACCGACTGAAGACTCTCAGCATTCTCAAGACTGGTAATGACTTCACCTGAATATATTAAAAAACATTTGATATTTTCTAACATCACTTAAAATACATGAACCAGGTTAAAACTAACCAGAGGGATGAAACTCAATATATATGGTTTCATGCCTTTTAACCAATGAATTTCCATGATTTTTCTTGAGTTGTTAGTTATATTATTATTATTATTATATTATATAATTTATTCATATTTTAAATTAACATTTATTTTTATATTTTCAGTTTTTATTTTAGTTTACAGTGCTTTTGACATTTTTATTCATTTTTTATTTTTCTATTAAAGCTTTTATTTATTTATTTTCATTTGAGTTGAGGTTAAACCTATTTTATCTCAATTAGTTGCCAATGTAACATTTTCCTGTCTCTTTTTTTTTTATTTAAGTTCAACATTTTCATCTAATTTTCATTTCAGCTTAATTTCAATTAATTAAATACATTTTTAGTTTTAGATTTATTTTTAGAAAAACAATTACGTTTTATCGATAACAACACTGTTGATCAGGATTTTGATGTGCCATATTCTCATAAATATTTAGCCAATCCTTGAACTAAATACATTTAAATGGTTAAATGTTTTATTTTTAAATGATTACGTTACATTCACAACCTAAACCTTCACGCCTTTTCCAGGTCACGGCCATAACCCAACCATAAGACCACCTACATTTACATATGTATTTATGTATGTATTTAACAAATTATTATTTAGTAATATTAACGTGATTTTTAATGTGAAAAAGTAGAGCCAGTCATAAAGCTAATTTACATACAGAACAAAGCTCACTGACAATCATAATCATTTATATCTGCACATAGAAATCAGAAATAGCAAATATACAGTACATTTAAAAAAAAAAAAATGATCATGAGAAACAAAATGATACATTTTTTGGTCAAGAAATCTTGACTGACGCTGTTAGTGGACTTAAGGGAAAAAACTAAATGCAACAGAAGTGTAGAATATGACTCTGTTAAATGGCTGCAAGCACACAGAGTACAAAGCAGCTTTAGTCAGCGGTGTGTTCAGTGTCTCACCCAGACAGGTTGGCAGTGTTTGCGTGGGCATGGAGCCATGGCAGCTCTTCATGTTGACGGAGCAGGTGAGGTGCACAAACAGAGGCGGCATCTCCGGCTGCGGACCCTCCACCTCCAGCAGAGAGTCTCCGTCCAGAATACTGAAGGAGTCCTCATCCTGGTTCACCGTGTTGGAGTCCGACGGAGACTCGCCTTCACCTGCTCCCTGTCCTCCAGCCTCCGCTCTGCCATTCCCACAATCCTGATACTCCACCTCCAGATCCGTGTCACTCTCCGTCACGATGCAGCAGCCCGACACGTTCTCTGTGCATACGCAAAGGATAAATACGGATATGCATGTTTTAATATTCTTTGAGTTTGCTAACAAATTCACATAAACTTAACAAATTTTATAAACTAAACTCTGCTGCCGTCTTGTCTTTTCTGATCTACTAGTTTGAGATTTTTATGCTATGTATATGAGGTTGTTTGGTTTAGTAATGATTGAATGATTAGGGCTATTGTTACTTGTCTGTATGCTTACATTATCTTTGCATGTATATCGAGATGATATTATTGATACATTGTTTGTTATTTTGTTGACAGTGGGATTGTGTGTGTATATGAGTGAGCTGGTATTGATTTGTTGGTTCTATGTATAGTATAACTTTTAAGCGGATGTTTTTCTTTTAAGGAATAGTGTGAATGTTATATGTATTTTGGAGTAAGTAAGTATTATGTATTGATTAATTCTTTATATTTTTAGGGTGACAATATTACCATCAGCCCAGGGACTGCAGACTGGCCTTCTGGCTAATTCTGGCACATTGTACATTTATGTATTATTGATGTGCATTGTCCCTGCCAAATAAACCTGAAATAAATAAAATAAATAAATAGCATTAAATCAATGAACCCTATTAATCTCCCTAAAATGTTCATTCATCAGTGCTGTTGCACCATGACTGTGCATACAAGGAAAAATATTATTAATCAATAACATCATAGCAAACTTTTCACAATCCATCTGAAGCCTCATTCATCTAAATAGATGTTTAAAACACTATTATGTTCTTTATGTATGACGCGTATTTAGTGAGACAAATATTACTGTTAGACACTAATGTGCTTATGTTGCAAATGGCATTAAATGTCTTCAAAATGAAACTGAGGTGGACACTCAGATACAGAAGATGTTAAAGTGCAGCACTCGGGGAGGAAACTGAACATTCAGTGTGTCATGAATGATGTTTAACCGTCTTCTGTGGCGAGTTCAGCTTCAGACACCTCACAGTCCTCGCTGGCTCTCCGCTCTCCCTCTCTGTCTGAATCCTCCTGCCGACAGTGAACGAGAGGAAAGGAAGACAGTGCCATAAACCATTCATGTTTACAAAGTCCTGCTAAAAAGATGAGCGCTGATTTGACACTCAGTAGCTTGACTAGGTACCCACTGTTTGAGCAGGGTTGACTAAAAATATATATATATATTTTTTTTTTTGTAATGTGTGCATCTTTCAAATGAAAATACAATGTATTAAAAAAAACTCTTCTGTGAATGTATATCTTTTAGTATATACTGTCATATAAACTTCCAGACAGTAAGGTGTTAATTTAGTAACAGGCAAAATCAGATAAGGACGAAGAAGGAAAAAATCTATTCAATATCACTATACAATTATAAAAATAATAATAATAAAAATATATAATAATATTATTTAAATTATAAAAATGAAACAGATCAATAAATAAACAAATATTACTATTGCAAAAAGACTAATGTGAATTTAAAATAATTAACAACAACAACTTTGCATGTATATCGAGATGATATTATTGATACATTGTTTGTTATTTTGTTGACAGTGGGATTGTGTGTGTATATGAGTGAGCTGGTATTGATTTGTTGGTTCTATGTATAGTATAACTTTTAAGCGGATGTTTTTCTTTTAAGGAATAGTGTGAATGTTATATGTATTTTGGAGTAAGTAAGTATTATGTATTGATTAATTCTTTATATTTTTAGGGTGACAATATTACCATCAGCCCAGGGACTGCAGACTGGCCTTCTGGCTAATTCTGGCACATTGTACATTTATGTATTATTGATGTGCATTGTCCCTGCCAAATAAACCTGAAATAAATAAAATAAATAAATAGCATTAAATCAATGAACCCTATTAATCTCCCTAAAATGTTCATTCATCAGTGCTGTTGCACCATGACTGTGCATACAAGGAAAAATATTATTAATCAATAACATCATAGCAAACTTTTCACAATCCATCTGAAGCCTCATTCATCTAAATAGATGTTTAAAACACTATTATGTTCTTTATGTATGACGCGTATTTAGTGAGACAAATATTACTGTTAGACACTAATGTGCTTATGTTGCAAATGGCATTAAATGTCTTCAAAATGAAACTGAGGTGGACACTCAGATACAGAAGATGTTAAAGTGCAGCACTCGGGGAGGAAACTGAACATTCAGTGTGTCATGAATGATGTTTAACCGTCTTCTGTGGCGAGTTCAGCTTCAGACACCTCACAGTCCTCGCTGGCTCTCCGCTCTCCCTCTCTGTCTGAATCCTCCTGCCGACAGTGAACGAGAGGAAAGGAAGACAGTGCCATAAACCATTCATGTTTACAAAGTCCTGCTAAAAAGATGAGCGCTGATTTGACACTCAGTAGCTTGACTAGGTACCCACTGTTTGAGCAGGGTTGACTAAAAATATATATATATATATATATTTTTTTTTTGTAATGTGTGCATCTTTCAAATGAAAATACAATGTATTAAAACAAACTCTTCTGTGAATGTATATCTTTTAGTATATACTGTCATATAAACTTCCAGACAGTAAGGTGTTAATTTAGTAACAGGCAAAATCAGATAAGGACGAAGAAGGAAAAAATCTATTCAATATCACTATACAATTATAAAAAAAAAATAATAATGAAAATATATAATAATATTATTTAAATTATAAAAATGAAACAGATCAATAAATAAACAAAAATTACTATTGCAAAAAGACTAATGTGAATTTAAAATAATTAACAACAACAATAATAATAATAAAACATAGAGCTTTTATTTTGCTGGAAAAACGCAGCGAGACCGTAAAGCTTCTCTTTGGACAATAGTTAAATAGCACTTTCAAATGCATGCATAAATGACCAAAACTCACAGCGATTGCAAAGCTGAAATCTGTATAAATATAACACATCCCTATATAATTTTAATGATTAAATATTAAAATGAATTGATACATTTAAATTATTTTATGTCTTATTAAATATAATATTTTGAATATTTTTACCTTATCACAGTCAATTCAGACTGCAAACTCTTAACATAATGACCTGGGGCCTGTTTCCTAAAACAAGTTAAATTAAATAAGCCAGGCTTATTTCAGTTAGTCTGACTTATTTTGAACCAAATCAGCTGACAATAAGTTAGACTAACTGAAATAAACCTGGCTTATTTGGTTAACTTGTTTTAGGAAACAGGCCCCTGATGCTGCAGATTCAGCAAACACTGGAGCACATCAATGCTGCTAAAATGCACATTTAAAAAAAACAGAATACTAAAATTTTAACGCACCTCTTTTTTGGAAGATGGAAGGCAGTAAAAGAAATAATGTGGATTGGACGGTACCGTCTTGAAATACTGAGCACCAATTTCCATGAACTTATCCTGTAAAACAAACATGGTGTAATATCATACCTGCAACAGTTGTGTTTTTAAGGGGTCATCGAATGCAAAATTCACTTTTACATGTTGTTTGAACTAAAATGTGTCTTGGCAGCGTGTACACAACCGCCCTACAATGATAAAATTTCACCCAGTGTTTTTTTTTTATTTTTTTTATCTCCTTTCTCATATCAAGCCGTTCTCAGATTCTAGGCAGAATGACGATTCTTGGTGATTGAGGTGTTTTGTTGTTGGATGTAATAATGAACAGCAGTCGTCATTTACTCCCGACATCTGAGCCGCTGAAGACGCAGTGGCTTATGTTTGTTTCTGAAGGGAATGTGCCCCCGATCTACATAAATGCGTCTATGTTCGCGTGAATCATTCGTGATCCAGCTTCACCTCCAGAAGAAGTGAGTATAAAGTTTTTTAATGAATCTTTGCAAATCGCCTTTCCTAGTAATGTGCTAGTTAGCAAGTTTCACGATGAATGCGGCTAAAGTTTACCGTCTCTCAGAGAGCGGCTCGGAAGAGAGGGGCGGGGTCAGCAGAGCTCATTAACATTTAAAGGAAAATGCTACAAAAACGGCTTGATCTGAAAAGAGCTGTTTTTGACAGGGTAAAAAAGGTGTTTTTTACACTACCATTGAGAAATTTTAACCAAACTATGTTACAGACTTTTCATTAAGACCCTAAAGAATCATATCAACTTGTGGAAAATGGGCATCGGATGACCCCTTTAAAAATGCCATTTCTACATTCCTGATGCCAGGTGTCAGCTATACCTGTATGATTTTGTGTAAATCAGGATACACTTCACATTTCTGCTGGGACTGGAGGAGAGACAGAGGGAATTCTGGGATTTTTGGAGACTTTGGTTCGTCCAGGTCCAGCAGGGATGTGGGAGCAGAGACTTTCCCTCTGGACTCGCCTTCACTCACATCCTCCAGCTCAATACTTTGAGAAAAGTACATAATAATAGATGAATACAATGAAAACAAAGCATTAATTCCCACAATGCATTGCTCTGTGGTCAGTACCTGGATGAAGACACCAGTGTGGCTCTGTCAGCTCCATCATCCTCTTCCTCTCCGATGATGAAGGTGGTGGGAGCGTTCCTGGACTTGCTTACATTGACAGAGCCATGAAGCTCGTGACGCTCACGAAACACACGCACGTGTCCGCAGAGCGTCTGCAGGAAGGAAGTGATGTCGATCTCCTGCAGCGACTCCTCGCAGTAGTCCATAGCCGTCAGTAGGTCTTGTGAGCTCACATTGTGCGACTGCTGCAGACTGCGATAAACACCTGTCAATCAACACAGGCACAAGACCAATGAAACCATCTGCTGTGAAAATGACTCATGCATATTTTTATGGTGATATTTTTATGAACACATTTTCTGCCCCAATTCATATTAATGAAATGCATTATGTATATTCGCAAGTATTTATATCAAACTAATGTTTATTTGTTTTTTATTGTAGATCCGCAGAGATAGTAAATATTTTAAATCAAATACATTAATACATTAATCAATTAAATACCTTTTATTTAGACAAACATGAAAAAAATCAAGTATCGGGACAGGGTGATTCCCATTAATAATCTCAGTAATGAGACACTAATAACCATTGAGAACAATGTGAATTAAATAAAAAAAACCTAATGAAATAATAAAATAAAAAACACTTTATTTTAAAATAATAATCAATTTAATCGAAAAATGTCCAGATTCAAAGCAATAATGAGAATTAGATTTTTTTTCCTTTGTTGCATTACTCTAATGAGAATTCTGGACATAAATGTGCTTACTTTTTTTTACATATTTATTTCGAATTAATAATAAAATAAATAAATGTAATTAAAAAATGTATGGACTCTACACTAAAGAGAATCCGGGACCTAAATGTGCTTAAATGCTTACAAATATTTCTTTTTTGTTATTTATTTATATTTCTATTTTAAAATAATAAAATACATGTGGTAAGATTTTACAATAAGGTTCCATTTGTTAACATTAGTTAACGTAATCTAACAATAAAAAAATACTTTAAAGCATTTATTAACCGTAGTTAATGTTGATTCCAGCATTTACTAATACATTATTAAAATCAAAAGTTGTATTAATGTTATTTAACAGACTTGTGCTAACATGGACTAACAATAAACAGTTGTATTTTTACATTAACAAAGATTAATAAATACTGTAACAAATGTATTGCTCATTGTAAGTTAATGCTAGTTAAAGAATTAAATATAGTTAAATTGTTAATTTATTATTGTAAAATGTTACCATAAATGTAATTACAAATGTCTTGTCTCAATACAGTAATGAGATTTTTTTTTTTTTGCATTATACGAAGATAAATGTGCTTAAATATTTGTATACTTGATTTATATTTGTATTTAAGCTTTATGCATATGTTGGCGTGTGACCTTTGACATAGCTCTGGTAGTAGTGCTCCTGCAGCAAGCTGCAGTAGTTGGCCAGTTCTTTGTGTTTGTGAGGGTGCGTCATGAGCTCAGTCCAGGAGCAGGCGCTGCTGCGCTCCTGAGAGATTGACCTGCCCAGAGACACACACACACATCAGATAACAGCATGCCACAATCTGCAGGACATTTCCTACAACACTACACCAGACAGCAGCCTAAAATAGCAGAGGCAAGCAGCAGAAAAAGCAATACCCAAGATACCAAAGTCAAACATTTATCCATACGTCTATTACAGAGAAAAACTCTGCTCTTTCTGTGACGTATTTCAACTTTGTCATCAGATCAGCATTTTGATTTTAGCTGATGCATTTATATTCAAATGCAGCTGAATTACAGCCCTATAAATATATACAAAAAAATATATATTATTGAAGTAGCATTGAGTCAGACCTAATTTACACAACACGCACTACGTTAAATAAATAAATTAATAAATATTTATAATTAATAAGGCAATTTATTTGCAATTTCTGAAAAAAAGACACCTTTATGAAAATGCAATAGTGTTAGAAAACAGAGAGACAACATGCAACAACCATATCTGTCCGACATTTGTACAAGAAGCAAATGCATGCTTTCTGTTTTTCAGATTTTATTAATTTGGGTCTGTATTCACTGACTATATTATGTGCAAGAAAAAGGGTGATTATAGACTCTAGAAAGTGCAATAAACATGTTTAATTAATTATTTTAATATATCAGCACTTAACGGCTCGTTGCTGACGGTCTTGATTTTAAATGTCAGTGGCCAAAACATCAGTGTAATACTTTATATTAAACAGCACAATAGCACAGCGCAACAGGATTTCATTTATCTACAGTCCAGCGGATCATCAAACATAAATACTAGTCGTGTTTGCTGCTGAAGTGGACAGGAAAATATCAAACCAGCTTTAAAAGCATGCAAAACAGATTTACAGCCATGAAGCAACAACACCCAAGATTTATACGGCATAGGTTTACCATTTCTGTGGTCAACAAAGCAGGAAAAATACATTTAAAGGGAAAGCGAAGTAGAAAAAATCAAGACGTTGAGGACACCAATATAATATGCAGCCTAAGACTTGGGTTGCTCAGATGAGTACCGAGTACTCAGACATTGCCACCGAGACAGACGTTTATCAGCAGAATATACCAGATCGACAAAGACTGAGAACAAATACTAATCCCTCAAATACATCAAGAATAAAGAGGACATAAGTTATACATTACAGTCATTTAGAATGTCTTGAGATGTCCTAAATGTCTACATGCAGGGAGTGAACCTCTTTAATTTAAGTATGTACAGTACACTATCAGTCAAACATTTGGACACATCTACTCATACTTCATCATGACTCTTTTCAACTTGGTTGGAACTCATAATGAAATATAACATATATGGAGGCATGGGAATGCAAATAAATAAAAAGTCAAGTAGAATGAATAAAATAAAATAAACCGCCTTTGAATTGGACCTTCTTCGTGTAGATTCCAGCTCTGCTAACTCTAGACATTCATCATAAACTTTTTGTCCAAACTTTTGACAGGTACTGAACACCAGAAGGCAGAGAAAACAACCCTCAGCAGGATATGAGGTCTTAAAACACATTAATATAATATAGAACAATCCAGATCACTGTGCACCCCAATCAACAACAATATACAAACTAATGTTGAAAAGTTTGGGGTTGGTAAGATATTTTTATGTTTCTGAATTTCCAGCATCATTCCTCCAGTCTTCAGTGTCACGTGATCTTCAGAAATCATTCTAATATGCTGATTTGCTGCTCAAGAAACATTTCTGATTATTATCAATGTTGAAAACAGTTATGCTGCTTCATAATTTTATTCAGGACTATTTGATGAATAAGTTAAAGAACAGCATTTATTTGAAATAAAATCTTTTATAACATTATAAATGTCTTTACTGTCACTTTTGATCAATTAATGCGTCCTTACTAAATAAACTATTCGATTGTTTAAAAAAAAATTACTAACCCCGAACTTTGAATGGTAATGCATATACCGAGATAAACTTGTCTTCATTCTGTTATTTTAAGCCCTCATATCCTTATAAGTCTTCAGCAGCCTAATATCCCCTCATTACAGTCACATCCGTAGAACAGCAAATCCCTCCAGAGAAAGAGAAAGAAAGAAGGGTCATCCTTAAGGTGACGGGGCCAAAGCGGCCCCCTCACACCCCTCATCCCCTCCCCTCCCGCCCCGTCCCGCTGTAGGGCGGCAGCAGGAAGCGGTAAGCAGGGCTACCTGTATTTGGGCTGCTGACTGAACTCCCAGGAGTCTGTCTCTTGAGCTCTATTCTCATCCAAAGAGAAACCAGACAGTACAACATTAGGACGACCACAGATCAAACACAACAGCTCTGTTCCAAAACACAGCGAGCCGCCTACAGAGGCTACTTTATTAGACATAAGGATGTTATCAATGCTTTTATCCAGAGACCATTTATTGGTAATAAAGAGCTTTTCAATTCAGTCACATAACGGGGGTTATTAGAGTTAATTAAAACCATTAAAAAAAATTCCGTTACTTGAAATGAAATAAACTTTAACTAAAATTAAATTATTTCAGTTATCATATATCTACATTTGTCATTTTCATTTAGTTAAACTTGAAGCATCAAACAACTAAAGTAAAACTAATAAATGAATAAAAACTCCGTAGGCATTTTTAAATAAAATTATAATAATAAAATGACAAAAACGCGAAATTACAAAAACTTGAACTAAAATTAAAGTGGAAACAGCAATATAAATAATATTAAAAATATAAAATTAAAAAATAATGTAAAAATAAAATTCAAAATATGAATCGTCTTTTCTCATTTTTGTTTAGTTTAACTTGAAGTAGCAAAATGACTAAACTAAAAGTAAAACTAATAAATAAAAATTAATAAAAACTATAAAGAATGATAAAAAAAGAAAAGAAAGAAAGAAAAAGAAAAGAAAATGAATGAAAATGACAAAAACACAAAATTACTAAAACTTCAAAGTTTAACTCAAAGTACCAAAATAACTCAACTAAAAGTAAATCTAATAAATAAAGATTATTAAAAACTTAATAGATATATAAATATATATATACACAAAAAAGAAAGAAAAGAAAATGTATAAAAACGGCAAACACAATTACTAAAACTTTAACTAAAATTATAGTGGAAACTAAATAAAAAAACAGAAAATAGAAATCAGAAAAAAATTAAAGTACTATAAATAAATAAAATTCAAAATATGAACAAAAACTATAATAGAATATCAATGATACTAAAATACTGTTACTTATAAGGTCCTTCATCAGTTAGATGCTGCCTAAGAATGTAGCTGTCTATGTATGCAGTAGGGTTTGGAACAGAGCTGATGTCCTGAGACCTTCATGCTACACACCGTAGCTTTCATCTGCATGTGGGAGAGTGCCTCAGTACCTGAAGAAGACGTCTCTGGGCTGGCGTCCTGAGCGCGGGTGGACCAGCTGCTCTTTGAGGGAGTCCAGTGAGCAGTTGTAGATGTAGATGGGGCAGCGGGGTCGTGCTGCGTCAGCACTGCTCTGCTGAGACGTCTGTCTGCCAAACGTGATGTGACAGTCTCGCTTCTGCGGCTCCAGAAACTGAACGCCGTCCTTCTCCTCTGAAGCTGAAAGATATCAGACAGAGTTATTAATATAAACAACTCTCCCACTCATGATCATTTTTTTGTCCTAACCAGTTGTAACGTGAAACAGCTTTTTTTGTGGCATTAAGATACTTTTATAGATTTTAATATTTTGAATTCGTTTTTTATTTTTATTTTTTGTTTTCCTTGTAATTTTAGTTAAAGGTGGGGTAAGTGATTTTTCAAAAACGCTTTAGAAAACTGATTCGGGCCGACTAGCAAAACAAACTTGTAGCCAATCAGCAGTAAGGGGCATGTCTACTCATGATGTGGAGGAGAGAGCGTTCAGTGCCGAGCCGAGTGACAGAAAGATAGAGATGGCGGATAAAAAAAACAAAAGAGGAAAACGTCTGCGGAACAAAAGAAGGCTTAAGGCAAGAAGTAGGACCCGTGTAAATATCGGATCAGTTTTCCAGCGCTGGAGAGAACTCAAGGAGTGGAAGGCCTGCGATCGGACGCCGAGGTTGCTTTGTTTCTTCTCGATAGGTGAGTAACACCGTGTCTGCACCGAAACATCTAAAGCCTTTCTAGTACACTGGACGCGACAAAGCGAGCGTTGAAAATCATTTGAAATTTGTGTCAATACGTCATGAATAGAACGCAGCAGCAGTTTTCTGTCGGGGATTTGTCGTGTCATGCCGCGCTGCATCCAGTGTAGACCATAGATGTGTGTATATATCTATGGTGTAGACAGCATCACTGAGTTCTATAGTATTTTGTCACACCACTCGCGTCCGGTGTAGACACGGTGTAACATTGGTTTTGCTTTGTTTCACAGAACTAATCGTTGCCTGGGTTGCGTACGTGTGTGTGGGGCGGAGCTATTAAAATGGGGGCAAGACCCTTTTGGGGTAGGTGCGTGTTTGTTTTGGTGATTTCAAATATCAACATTGTCTGTCAGAAATCACTTACCCCACCTTTAATGTTTTAGTAATTTTGTTGTGAGCTTTTGCCATTTTTATTTCTTTTTATTATTTTTTATAGGTCTATACATTTATTTCAGTTTTAGTTAATGTTAAACTAAATATGAACATGAGAAATTGTGCCTTCCAGTTTGTACTGTAATTTCATCCAACTCGCCTACGATTGATTTGGGAGTGCAAGGCACTATATATTTTTTGGACTTTTTTTCACTTTTCAGTAAATTCAATTCAATTCAATTCAATTTTTTACATTTATAAGAACTTCAGTGACTTGCCTGGATAAATAAAGGTTAATATAATATTTAAAGTAATAAAATGTTTATTTATGGTTTTAGTTTTTAATTTTTAACTTTAAATAACTATAACTTACATATATATATATAGTATACTATAACTATAAGTTATCTATAATAACCGTGATGAGAAGAACAACTAAACTCCCTGGTTTGGTTATGGTTTCTGTCATTTCTGCCACTTTATCACATCAAATCCAGTCTGGAAACTTATCAGAATTTAAAATCCCATACCAGCATCACTTGCGTTCATGCTGCTCTGTCCTGCAGATGTCTCCAGTGCTGCTTCTGGGTCCACCGTGGACCCCTTCCTGTCTCCTCCATGTTGACCTGTTCCAACTTGTGGACCATTGGCAGAGCTGCTGATGGAGTCAGCCTGTGATTGGCCGTTGTCCTGACAACAGGTCCCCTTCTCTTCCAGGAGACCGCTATTGATTGGAGGTTCAGTTTCCAGCCCAGAAGACATCAAAAGCTGCACATCTGTCAAAATAAAATTGTAAATTGAAATTCCAAAACAAATAAAAATAAAATTGTGGCATATAGAATATGCGTTCTGTGTGAATGGCTTGGTTTCGGTTTTAACCTTGTAGCGTCTGGACCAATCAAAACACACAATATATATTTTGTTTTTATATTTAACAAATACTCTGTAACCCCCCTCAGTTAACAAGCCATACGAGGACCCATGAACCCTTCCCCCCGGAATGCGTAACCCCCCAGGAAGCCGAAACAGGCCCCTTTGTTGCATGGCAACCAACGCTGATATCACTGGGTTTATTGGCCAAAAGTATCTAAAGCAGGGAAAATCCCTGCATGTCCCAGGACAAACAAACTTTTCTACTAATTAATTCATAGGAAACCCTTTCTTTGAATGAACACACATATTCTTCAGGCCATTGTGTATATTATTGCTGTTTTGTATTAATCTGTTGTATTATAGACTATTTTTATTCATGCTTACGATAAACCACTCATTCATATAAGTAACTCTACCATGTCTAGTATCTATGAATTCGT